GACGGTGAGTTCGAGTCCCATCTTAGGCCTGGAAGCTGGCTGGATGGCTTTGGGCCAGTCCCTCTCTCTCAGCCCAGCCCACCTCACAGGGCTGTTGTGGAGAAAATAGGAGGAGAAAGGAGTATTAGGTACCTTCGCCGCCTTGAGTTATGTATAAAAATAATACAGGCGAGATAAAAAAATCTAAAAAAAAAGGCATGCCCAGAATTCAATTATTTTGCTATCGCTGCAAAAAATGTGCCCGTTCGGTCCCCGCAAAATCGGAGCCCGATTTTCTGGAGAGAAGCTATAAATCTAGCAAATAGAAAACCGTCAGTAGAAGATGTGGCCTCTTTCTGATGATCTCTGCCAGCCTCCCCGTTTTGCTAGCACCGTCTCTGATTGTGGGGATCCTCAAAGCCTCCCTGCCGCGAATCCTACACAACTTTGTGGGAGTCACAATCTTTTTTAAAAAAAACTTGATCAGCCCTGTACAGAACTGGAAGTCTGGATTTTTCTCCTGGCTTTGCCCGCCCAAGACCGGTGGGCGCGCGGGGCTGGCAAACTTGGCAAAGTGTGTCCTCGATCCGCGAAAGATGGGTTCGATGAAGAATTAATAAAATGGATATATTTATTTCTTGCCCCACTTGTGGGGAGAGGCCGTCACACAGATTTATCTATCGTTTTTAGGGGCTCGACGTAGAAAATGAAACAGTACTGACCGAAGATCTGCCCACTTAATTATTATTTTGGAAAGAGGTTGATGCAGCGAGCGCTTTCTCTCTCCCCTTTGAGTTTTCATCCCGGCTTATTTTTTTTCCATCCAAGGAAGCTGTTTGTCTGCTGCTCCGATTGCATCCCCCTTTGCTACCTCCGAGCCAGCAAACAAGGATCCCAAATGTCCGGTTCTCCTTGCAGAAGGAGGATTTCGAAAGCTTGAGGTGCCACTCTCGGGCACCGTGTCCAGATGGCGCGGGCGGGGGACGTCTCTAGTTCTCTGAGACACACACACACACACACACACACACCCTTTTGCAGGAGGCATCCGGGAGCGAAAACCCCCCGCCACGCTTGTGCTTTGACTCAGAGGGCAAAATCAGGTGGCGCATCATTAATATTACATTTCCTTCTCCTGCCCTGGAGCGGCTCGCCATGAATATTGCAAATGTCTCTGTTTATTAGTTCTGATGCATCGAAGGACGTTTAGAAAAGTGTTGGATTACAGGCTTTCTAATAAGGGTTGATATATTATTCATTTCTCTAGGGGCTTGCAAACCCCCTTCGCAGGGTGCTCGGGGAACGTCTCCGAGAAGTGCTAAATAAAACTGATGAAGCCTCACTAGGTCAAGGGGGCAGGGGGGGCAGACTCAAGTTTCTTGGTTTGGAGAGTTTTGTGGGGAGGAAAGAAGGTGGCACCCGGTGGGGTCTGCCCAGTTGCGTGTTACCCAGAGGAAAAGGCACTGGATTGCCAAATGGATTTTGGGGGGGGGGGGGGGGTCTCCCTTTTTCAATTTAAATGAATGCTTCAAAGCTCTAAG